GAAAGTGGTGCTGTGGCACAAGTGGTAGAGCGCTAGCCTTGAGCTGAAAAGCTGAGGGACAGTGCCCAGGCCCAGAATTCAGGCCCCACAACCGGACCTCCCCCCCCCCCAAAAAGAAAAGAAAACACAGGACTAGGAAGTTAGGATACCAGATTTAAGGTGCAGGCTCTGTGAAACTGTATATCATTAATTTGGGGGCAAATCCAATTAACTTCCAAGTTTCTTTCCTTATCTATTCCATAAGGTTATAATGAGCTCAAGGAGGTAAGATGTTCACAAAGTTAAATCTAACAGGTAAGTAAGTAATTCATGTGGGGGGGGGGGAGAGAAGGGGAGAATGTCCTAGGGCTTGAATTCAGGGCCTGGGACTTGAGCCATGGTTCCATTTCTAGCTTTTTGGTAGCTAATTGGGGATAAGAGTCTCACAGACTTTCCTGCCCAGATGGCTTTGAACCTGGATCCTCAGATCTCAGCCTCCCGAATAACTAGGATTACAGGTCTGAGCCACCCATGCCTGGAAGATAATTTTTTTTTTTTTTTATCTCTGACCTCCCATGTCACTACAAGTCATCAATGTTTGTTTGTTTGTTGTGCTGGGGATTGGCTCGCAAATGCTAGGTAAATGCCCTACTAATGAACAGCATTCTCAGTGCTAATACAGTATATGGTGAAAACACTCTTGTACTGGAGAGATGAGTGTAGGTGGACTGCCTTTAGCTCAAGTGGGCTGCTTTAACGGCTTTCTAAAGTCAGATGGAAATGATTGGAGGTTATCTGAAGCTTTAGATTATAGTTACTTTTCTACTCTCCTGCTCCTGATTATATACAGTTCACTATATTTAGCTCTAGATTTGATTTTCTTTCTCTGAGTCAGATGGGAAATGCTTCTTCCCACCATACCCTTCTTCTCATGTTGAGAGTTTCCCAAGAAGCAAAGATCATTTCCCTTTTTGGCCATGTAGTTCTCAGAAAGTGCTAATCCTTCCCTCACCACCCACCACAGCCAGCCTAAATAGGAAATCTCCAAGAATGGGAACCATGTCCTTGGGTTCTCAGGCCTTTGGTGAGATTACTCAACCACAGGCGTGAGATTTGATGAACTGAAGCTTTCAGTCAAGGCTAAATAGATTTACAGTATCACGTCTACCTTCTAATACTTTTTTTTTCAGTGTCTCAATACCAGTATTAGACATTGAGAGTTAAAGAATTTAGAGGGCCTAGGAGTAGACAGATATGGATTAGTATATTGATTTTGCCACTTACTAGCTATGTGACTGTGCAATTTATCAACTTCTCTGGGCTATGTGTTTGTCTTAGTCTGTGAAAGAGGAGAAAAATAATGACACCCACATTACATCCAGGCTTGTTGTGAGGGCGATATGAGATATACTAAAAGCCTTATTTACACTTATTTACACATCAGTGCTCATTAGAGTAGTTGTGGAGGGCTTTAGTGGGGAACGAACAGGACAAGATATGCAGAAAATCTCGTGGAGACCATAACGTGAAGTCCAAGATGAGGAGAGCCCTTCATGCCAAGGAGTCGGGTCTCCTGGCTCAGGGTTAGTGATGCACCTTGTGCTCCCGCCTGTCAGGAGACCTCAAACTGCCAACGACTTGGAGCTACTCAGGGTCTCAAATGAGGACGATGTCTAAGAGCAAACCTGGGTCCAGGCAGCAAAGTCTCCTCCAAGAAGTTCTGGGTGAATTAAGTTTCCCAGCGGCTAGCGTCCACACACTTAAGTCTCTCTCACTTACCTGGGAATGGTGACGGCCCGTAACGACAACCAATAATGGCTTAACCAGGGAGTAGCAGCGGAAGCCTGAAATCAAACCTTGGACTTTGGAGGCTCCACGTCTCAAGCCCTAGTCCAACATTGAACTACAACTCCCAGAATGCATCGCGGCCGCCGGCATCCAGACGGTGGTCAAACCCTGCCAACCTTGAGGCCCAGTTTCCCGTACAGCTCGGCCGAACGCCGGGGGGCTTCCGGGATTGCTGTCCACACCTCCCAGCACAGCCTCCCCTCGTGATTTCTGGGTATTGTAGTCCATATTGTTCCGGTTTCCCTGAAATAAGCTGCTTTTGGTAGCCGCTCCCTTCCTCATAGAAACTACAAAACCCAGAATACAGCGCAAATTTTCCTCGCCCAATAGGAGCCCCTCATGTAGCGGGGCGCGGAGCCTGGCTCTGGCAACTCAAGATGGCGGACGAGAGTGAGACAGCAGTGAAGCCGCCGGCACCTTCGCGGCCGCAGGTGATGGAAGGGAACGGAAACGGCCATGAGCACTGCAGCGATTGCGAGAACGAGGAGGAAAACAGCTACAACCGCGGGTAACGAGATGATTGGAGTCCAGTTCCTGTCCAGTCTCCCGCAACCTGGGTCTCTGAGGGTGCGGGGAAGTCACCGGGAGCTTAGCCTAACCCCACCCCCATGTTTTTATTGGCTAAGACATTGGGATCCAATCTGGCGATTGGTTGCTGCCCTTGTCAATTTACTAGGGGTGGGTGCTTGGTATATTAAGGGCCGGAGACATTCAATACTTTTATTATATAAAAGTTCTTCTGTGTAATGTTGCACTCGTGTGCTTCAAGCGCGATCGAGGAACAGAGCATGTAACATCGAACATGGATTTCGGTGGTACAGCACAGGACAATATAATAACTACAGTTCAGAAGGAACGTTACTTGTAAAGGTGTGTGAACAACGTGGCTAGTAATAAACGAATAATAAAACATTTCGCTGCAGTTTACTTTCAGTGAGGAAATTGACCAGGCCATACGACCCATATATATAATTATGTTGTAAAATATCACTACCAGAGAATTCCAAAATATAAACTCATAAACTATAGGTCATTAACGGTATGGTATTTTAATTCATACAGTGTCTCTCCAAATGATCTTTGTGTCTTGTACACAATTAGGTCGTGCATCTTTGCTCTGTTAACTTATTAAGTACAGGAAACTTCAAGAAATTGATTGATGGTATCTCTTGGACAGTACTTTATATCTGTGGGATGACTCCCACATATGCTGTATACTTAGGGTCTACTTATTTGTTTCTTGAGAAGAAGGAATGCATCTGATATTTGAGTGTTGAGTTTTTTCCCAAGTCAGTTTTCACTTTTGTAAGCCACTGTGTATCATTCATCTTCATATCTGGTATCTTAGTATCTGATGATTGCCCTCCATTGTGTGAGACTGTTCTGGGTTTAAAACTGCTTAACTTAAGTGGTCTGGTTTTTATAAAAGCCATCTTGTCATTTGCAGTAACTGTTAATTCCTAAACTCTATCCAGGTAAGACCAAAGGAAAAGTAGAAGGTTGAGGTCTTTGTGTAAGCTCTTCTTTACACACTCTCTCTCTTTCTCTCTCTTTCTCTCTTTTGCCAGTCCTGGGGCTTGAACTCTGGGCCTGGGCCCTGTCAATGAGCTTCTTTTGCTCAAGGCTAGCACTCTACCACTTGAGCTACAGCACCACTTCTGGCTTTTTCCGTTTATGTGGTACTGAGGAATCGAACCTAGGGCTTCATGCTTGCTAGGTGAACACTCTACTACTAAGCCACATTTCCAGTCCCTCTCCTTTTTTGGGGGGGGGATCCGGTTGTGGGGCCTTAACTCTGGGCCTGGGCGCTGTCCCTCAGCCCTTCAGCTCAAGGCTAGTGCTCTACCACTTGAGCCACAGCGCCACTTCCGGCTTTTTTCTTTTTG